ATTTAATCTTCTCTCATGTGGACCTTCTGATGATGGATTATTAATAGTTAACATTTGCAACTTATATAAATAAAACCTGAAACCTTTATATATTATTTCTTTTTGTGTCATATTTAGTGAAAATAATTGCTCATCTACCTTATGAATTTCTATCTTGAGTCAAAGAAGATAAAATTACCATGTTTCATATATTGTTAAATTATTAAATCTAAATGCATCATTAAATGTTATATATATCATGTTAACTTTTATAATTTTAGTATCTTTTGAAAAATTTTAAATTCTGGAGTTCATCAGGAATTTACATTAGAAAATTTGTTTGCTGATAGAGTGGTTTTGATGAGCACATGCTGTTGGAATTTTGTTCCTGGAATATTGTGTAACAATACAGTTATCCACCAAGGCAGAAACATGAATTAGAGCATGAATTTATTTGAACCAATGTTTTTCAGGGTCTGTTTCTTGTGCAGCTCTTTGTAGAAACTGACTATAGGCACATCTCATTTTATTGCACTTCACTTTATTGCACTTTACAGATCCTGTGTTTTGTTTTGTTTTAATTTGAGGTTTGTGGCAACCCTGCTTCCAGCAAGTCTATTGGCAGCATTTTTCTAACAACATGTAGAAAAACTTCATGTATGTGTGTGACATTTTAATATTTCCTGCAATATTTCAAAAACTTTTTCATTATTTTTCTGTTATGGTGACCTGTGATCAGTGGTGTTTGTTGTTACTATTGTAATTGTTTTGTTGTAACATGAACTACACACATATAACACTAACTTAATCAATAAATGTTGCATGTGTTCTTACTGTTCCACTGTCTGTGCCCCACATCTCTTTCTCTCTCCTGTAGCCTCTTTGTTCCCTGAGACACAACAATATTGTACTTAGGCCATTAGTAACCTTACAATGCCCTCTAAGAGTTCAAGGGGAAGGAAGAATTATGTGTCTCTCACTTTAAATCAAAAGCTAGAAATATTTAAACTTAGTGAGAAAGGCATGTTGAAAGCTGAGATAGACTGAAGGCATAGTCTCTTGTGCCGAGCTGTTAGCCAAGTTGTAAATGCAAAGGAAAAGTTCTTGAAGGAAATTAAAAGTGCTACTCCAGTGAACATATGAATGATAAGAAAACAAAATACCCTTGTTGCTGATATGAAGAAAGTTTTAGTGGTCCGCATAGAATATCAAACCAGACACAACATTCCCTTAAACAAAAGCTTAATCAAGAGCAAGGCCCTAACTCTATTCAATTCTGTAAAGGCTAAGAGAGGTGAAGAGGCTGCAGAAGGAAAGTTGGAAGTTTGCAGAAGTTGGTTCATGAAGTCTAAGGAAAAAAGTCATCTCCATAGAATAAAAGTACACAGTGAAGCAGCAAGTTATCCAGAAAATCTGGCTAAGTTAATTGATGAAGGTGGACGTGCTGAACAACAGATTTTCAATGTAGGCAAAACAGCCTTTTATCAGAAGAAGATGCCATCTAGAACTTTTATTGCTAGAGAGGAGAAATAAATGCCTGGTTTCCAAGCTTGAAAGGACAAGCTGAGTCTTTTTGTCAGAAACTAATGCAACTGGTGACTGAAGTTAATGCTTATTTACCTTCCCCAAAATCCTAGGGCCTTTAAGAATTATGTTAAATCTCCTCAGCCTGTGTGCTATAAATGAACCAACAAAGCCTAAATGATAGTACATCTGTTTGTACCTTGGTTTACCGAATGTTTTAAGCCCACTGTTGAGACCTACTGCTCAAAAAAAAAAAAAAAAAAAAGATTTCTTTAAAATATTACTTCCTCTGACAACATATACATCCAAGAGCTGAAATGGAGGCCGGGTGCGGTGGCTCAAGCCTGTAATCCCAGCACTTTGGGAGGCCGAGACGGGCGGATCACGAGGTCAGGAGATCGAGACCATCCTGGCTGACACGGTGAAACCCCATCTCTACTAAAAAATACAAAAAACTAGCCGGGCGAGGTGGCGGGCGCCTGTAGTCCCAGCTACTCAGGAGGCTGAGGCAGGAGAATGGCATGAACCCGGGAGGCAGAGCTTGCAGTGAGCCGAGATCTGGCCACTGCACTCCAGCCTGGGCGGCAGAGCGAGACTCCATCTCAAAAAAAAAAAAAAAAAAAAAAAAAAGAGCTGAAATGGAGATGTACAAGGGGATTAATGTTGTTTTCATACCTGCTAACACAATATCCACTCTGCAGCCTGTGGATCAAGGAGTAATTTTAACTTTCAAGTTTTATTAGTTAAGAAATGCATTTCATAAAGCTGTAGCTACCATAGATAGTGACTCCTGTGATGGATCTGGGTAAAATAAATAAAAAACCTTGAGGAAAGTGTATACCATTGAGAATATTCATGATTCATGAGAGAAGGTCAAAATACCATTAAGAGGAATTTGGAAGAAGTTGCTTTCAACTCTCCTGGATGACTTTGAGGGATTCAAGGCTTCAGTGGAGGAAGTTACTGAAGAAGTGGAAAGAGCAAGAGAACTGGAATTTGAAGTGGAGCCTGAATATGTGACTGAATTGCTGCAATCTCATGATAAAAGTTTCATGGATGATAAGTTGCTTCTTGGGAATGGGCAAAAAAAGTGGTTTCATAAGATGAACTCTATTCCTGTTGAAGATACTGTAGACATTGTTGAAATGACAACAAAAGATTTAGAATACTGCATAAACATAATTGATAAATTAACAACAGGGTTTGAGAGGATTGGCTTCCATTTTGAAAGAAGTTCTACTCTGCATAATATGCTATCAAACAGCATCACATGGTACAAAGAAATCTTTTGTAAAAGGAAGAGTTAATCCATGAGGAAAACTTCATTGTCCTACTTTGAGAAATAACCACAGACACTCCCACCTTTGGCAACCACCACCTTGATCAGTCAGCAGCCATCAACATTGAGACAAGACCCTCCATCAGTGAAAAGATTATGACTTGCTGAAGGCTCACATGATCATTAACTTTTTTTTTTTTTTTTTTTTTTTTTTTTTTTTTTTTAAGACAGTCTTGCTCCGTTGCCCAGGCTGGAGTGCAATGGCATGATCTAGGCTCAGTGCGACCCCCGCCTCCCAGGTTCAAGCAATTCTCTTGTCTCAGCCTCCCATGTAGCTGGAACTATAGGTGCCTGCCACCAGCTAAATTAGCCCAGCTAATTTTTGCATTTTTAGTAAAGACAGAGATTCACCTTGTTGGTCAGGCTGGTCTCAAACTCCTGACCTCAGGTGATCCACCCACCTTGGCCAATCATTAACTTTTTAAAACTAAATATTTTTAATTAAAGTATCTTTTTATGGTTTAGACCTAAACAATATTTAGACAATGTTTAGAAATATTTTATTGTTTTAGATATAATATCACATACTTAATAGACTACAGTATAGTATAAATATAACTTTTCTATGCTTTTAGAGACCAAACACTTTGTATGACTCACTTTATTGCAGTTGTCTAGAACTGAACTTACAATATCTTGGAAGTATGCTTGTATTCTTGGTGTGGTCATTATTTCACTCTAATGTGTTCCCTCATTCCTCCTGTTACTGTGTTTTTCATTCAGTAAATATGTATTAACACTTACTATGTCTGGGGTTCTTTGCTACTTGCCAGAAATACAGTGGCTGTAAGTAGATATACTCCCTGCCCTCATGAAACGTGTGTGTTGAAGGAGAGAGACGTCATAATTTATCTTGGTAATTTAGGAAAATCGTTATGAATGCTGAACTTTGGGATATTCTGTTTTTGCATTTCATATGATGATTTTCTATTAGCACAAATCTCAATTTTATAATTGTAAATTGTAGATTTTCTAGTGTGAATCTAAATTTTTTAAAAGAATTCTTTGAGATACCTAAAATATTTGTAAAATTATCTGATAGCTTTTTAAAATTTTTAATTTTTGTGGGTATCATATCTTATGGAATATAATTTATTTTCATATGTCTGTTTTTGTATAGAGAAGAAACTGTTTCTTTTCATTGATCTACACATTTATTTCTTGCAAGTCTTTGAAATATATCCTTAGAATATTAGACATATTCAGATATTTAAAGGACAAGGCCCTCTCTCCACTACAAATACGTGCACATATTTGCCATGATTTTTAGATTTTTTGATATTATTGCTCATTTTTAAAATTTAAAAATAATTATTGAGTCACAAATTAAATAGGCCTAATATTTTTATGGGTTATTAAACTGGAAAAAAGAGATACTTTTACAATGTTTATATTCCTAATGTGAACCATAATTTACATTCTTGTTTGTTTCAACATTTTTTTATGTTCTAGTAACGTTTTATACTACCAAAATTTTTTTAAAGCCTAGATATAATTATTAAATATGTTCCTACATAGGTTATACTTTTGTAAGTATAGTGATATGTCTTTAGGGTTTATTTTTATGTCATTGGTGTTGGCAATGCTGTCTTTTATAAAAATCATGCTATATTATTTGTGACATATATGTAAACTCTCTTTAATCAGTTTGATTTTGTACTGAGGATTTTCTAGAGATGCAGTTATGACATGCATAAATAATTGCATTTATCTTTCTTCATGTATTGTGTTTTTTCAATAAACTGGGCTATGTCACAAGGCCAATCTTACCATACTGTTGGATTTTTAAAATCCATATATAATATAACGTTGGAAATTAGATTAAACCTTCATTTAAGTTCTCTTGAACACTAAACCGAGAAATTACACAGAAAGCTTCTATTAAAATTGTGAATCTATTTATCATCCCAGAATGTCACCCATGATGACCTCCCATTTCCTTCCACAGTGTTTTCTATCAAATACCCTTTTGCAGAGAAACACCATCAAACTTTGTCTTTCTCTTCTACTTACCCCCTCAGCCCTTTCTTATGTAATTTAGCATATATGTCTTTATTCTGATGCTTATTTTCTTCCTGTACCCTTACTAGTGCAATATAGGGCAGAGTATTTGACTCAGGAAGCAAATATTTTACTTATTTTATTTTACCTTTTATAGGTTTAACATGTCAGGAAGTAAAGGCTCTCAGAGAAAAGGCATGGTCAAAGACAAATGAAGGTATCCAAAAGCTACTATATATAATTTTTATCTCTTTTTTTCTGTCACATATTACTGTTTTTCAAAAAATTATAAGCATGAAAATAATTTCAGGCATTCTTCTGTTCTTCCTAATTGATGTTCTGTCAGTGAATATAATTGTAACACTTCTTTAAAAAAATACTTATCTATTGCTAGTGTATGTTATATACTCCATTTCCTGTGTTCCCTTTTTCATTTTGAGTAATGCATACTTAAGAGTGTTCAAACTTAATCTGTGGGTTTTTTCATAAATGATTATGAGGAAACATCTGTGTCACCTTCACTCACTCCACACATAGACATGCCCGGCGTTTCAGATGGTCTCCCTGTACTCTCCTGAATAATACTTTATGCCCTCCACTACCTGGGCTTTTGTGGTGCTAATTTCCTTTTCTTTTTAATTTTAACTGTAGGGTTCCATATGTATGCATCCCTAAAGATATAATTTAATTTTGCATGCTTGTTAATTGAAATTAAACTGAGTTAATATATGTATGTTGCTGCCTTTGTTCAACATTACTTGTTATCTTCATCCTTGTTGTTACCGTTTTTGCTCAGTGTAGTTTGTGGCTTTCATCCATTTTGCTGTACCATTGTCCAATACCATTCATTACATTTTTTGTTATTTTGAATAATGCTCCTAAAAACATCCTTGTACATATATCCTGTGTGAGTTTCTCTAAGGCATACCTATCAGCAGAACTGATAAGTATATGGTATATCTGTCGTTGACATTATGTGATAATGCCAAATTATGTTCCAAAGTAATGACATGAATTTACAGTGACATAACAGTGTAGGAATATTCAAGTTGCTCCATTTTCTTCCTACCACATGACATTGTTAGACTTTTAAAGTATTGACAATCCCCATACTATGTAGCAATGTCTTATTGTGGTTTCAATTTAAATTTCCCTGATTATTACTGATGTTGAAAATTTTTTCATGTGCTTTTTTGGCATTTCGAGTTCCACTTTTGCAAATTGACCGTATCTTTGTTCTGATTTTCTAATGAGTCGTTTGTCTTTTTTCACATTGATTTTTAGGAATTTCTTGTATAGTATGAATACTAGTTCTAAATCAGTCATATATTTAACTAATTTTTTTTACATTTATGCCTTTTATTTTTAATCTATTTATATTGCCTTTTGATGCACAAGCATTCTTATTATTTTTTCAAGTCAAAGCTTTTTACGTATTATTCAAGGAAATCCTAGTCTAAGGTCATGCAGATATTTGTCCAAATCATCTTCTAAGCATTTTGGAGTTTTGACTTTTACACTTAGATTTTCAATCCACTTGGAACTGATTTTTGTATGTTATTTAAGTTATGGTTTCTACCTTTCTTTTGTGTTTGATTACTTTGACTCTGTACTCCTTATTGCTTTTGAAAAATTATTCATGGGTATTCCATGATGCTTAAAATACAGATGACTTCTTCCAGAGTATACTTGTTTTTGCTTCTGTCAGGAACATAGTGCTGTACCAATATGGCACAAACTTAAAACAACTTCAAGCATAGAGGCTTCGATGGAATGTCCAATGTTGAAAACTCAATCTGCAAATTTCAGTGACGAACAGCCAAAGTTTTAATGTCACAGGGGTGAGGTTCTCTGCTTTTGTTTTTATTTTTGTATGTTTAGTGTATACTCAGAGAAAATACCTCTACAATGTCTTGAGTTCTGGTAGAGGCCATTGGGGTCATTATTTCTGGTTAACCTTTACTCTGAGGCTGTAGCCATTTGCTATCCAAACTTAAAATGAGTTTTACAATTTAGTTGGGAATTAAGGCATTCTAATTTTTTTGTGCTATAGACCCTTTTGAAGCCTATTGAAGCTTATACTCTCTGAATGAAAATTATATTTTTATTATTTGTCATTAAAATTATATTTTAAATATAAGAGGTACAGAAATATTTTGAAACTCGAGTAATTTTTTCCCCATCCAATTTCACAAATCACTTACATTTTGTCTATGGACCCTGAGACTAGGTTGTCTTTTTATTTTGTAAAACTTACAAGTCATCAAACCCAGCCCAGACTTTCTAGGAATTGTCAATGAGTTTTGTGTCAAATGTCATTTTGCATCCTGTGCTCCACTTAAAAGTATAGTTTCTGCTCTTCTTTATATTTTTGTCCTAGTAGTTTGTAACTATCTCGTGTGTGTGTGTGTATATATATATATAAAAAATCCTATTTTCAGTGGAAAAGTAGATCTGATAAACCTAGCCTGCCATTCCAAGAAATATGTGTTATATATAGTATTATTGTGTATTGAATTATGCATTTATAATAAGAGGAATTTTTCTAGTTTATATAATTTAACAAGTTTAATCCTCTTCTGAGTTTTATTTCTTCCCAAATTTGGGAGATAATGTGCTTTAGGACATATTCAAAGAGTGTGCTATTTAATATATATTCCAAGATATGCTTAGGGAAAAAATAATTCTGAGGTAAAATAAAACTGAGAAATTTTGTATAATTTATATTTTTCTTGAAGGTTCTTTTGATGAAAACACTTTGAAAACTCTAACAAGTCTTGCAATGAAAAAACCTTCTTAAGTAATATGTTATTTGAGTATAGAACTGCATCTTTCCATACTTACAAGAATCTCTTGGAATTATATATTGTAAACAGGTTTTAAAGAGTGCTAGTATAGTTTAAAGACTGGAACTAGAAACAAAGTTTAAATTTTAGTTCTATCACTTACTAACTTTGTCAACCTGGTTTGGTTCACTACCTTTCTGGGCCACATTTTACTCATGTGTAAAATGAAAATTAATGTGTGTTATTGTAAAGATTAAGTATCATAGTATAAATATGTTGAAGTCAACTGTCATGTATATATTCAATAAATATTAGTCATTCTCACTTTAATTTGAGATTTTTTCATCCTCATTGGTTTAATAAATTATGGTAAATTTATCCTACAAGATACCATGAAACTGATGTTTTATGTAATGTAATATAATTCTAGGTGTATAATTTACCATTATGTTATAAACTTCTAAGAAGTAAAAAACTACCAATTAAACTATTACACATACCAACCTTGAATTTTAAGATGTATCCTGATGTGACTGATCTTAGTGTGTGAAAAAAAAATTTTCTAACAACTTGAAATATAAAGTTGAATTTGTACTATGGTTTAAAATTGATAAGGAATCTCTCCGTCCTGAGAATGAAAGAAATGTATGTATATGTGTCTCTTTATATATATTTTATATATATGCATATACTTATGTACACACTCATTTAACAAACAGAAATGAAAGCATAGGTCCACAAAAATATTATCCCAGACCATTTATATGGCTTTATTCATAACAGTGAAAACTGAAAACAACCTAAATGTCCATCAGCAGAAAAATAGATTTAAATAAATACTCTGTAGTTATGCAATAATATAATGTGGACCATTGAAAAAGAATGAGCTGCAAATACATGGAGTAACATTGGTGAATCTCAAAAATATATTGAACAAAGTCAGATAAAACATACTTGATACATTTAATTTCATTATTACAAGGTCCAAGAAAAAGACAAAAGTAAACTATAGTGGTAAAAATCAAAATAACAGTTGCCTATAGTAGGCGAGAAACTTTCAGGGGTGATGGAAATTTTTTCTAGCTTGGATGTCATGGTAGTTACATTTATGTACACACTTATCAAAATGCATTAAATTATAAATTTAAGATGGCATTTTCTTTTATGTATGCTATAAAATAAAAAGTAGTGTTTTACTCTAAAACCATTAAAACATTTTTATATATTATAAATACATATACCATACATACATAAGGTTTAAATGCTTGCAGAATGACTTATGTTAACATATACTAACAGTTACAGATAGAATATACGTTAAAGCTCACTAAAGCATAAAATAAGGCATACATATGAAATATTCTCATAGGTATAAAGTATCTGGAAGTACACACAAGAAAATTGTAACGTTAGTTGCCTACTGATAACCAATCTTGAGTTGTGGTGTCCACTTTTCTTTTGTGTTTGATTCACTCTGTACTCCTTATTGATTTTGAGAAATTATTCATGGGAAGACCATGATGCTTTCTACTGGATTACCATGGGAGCGAGAATGGCATGGTGACTTTTCAAGTAACTGATGCATTAATTTTCTTTTAAACTTTCAAATTAATTTTAACACAGTTTTATAGTGTATGAAATTTTGTTGATTTTGTGTTATTTGCACTTAATATTTCCAGTTTTATTTATTTTATTTTTTAGAGAGAGGGTCTTGCTTTGTTGCTCAGGTTGGGGTGCAGTGACACAGTCATGGCTCATTGCAGCTTTGAACTCCTGGGCTCAAGTGATCATTCTGCCTCAGCCTCTGGAGTAACTGGGACTACAGGTGCATGCCACCATGCCCAGCTTTCCAATTCTATATTTTTAATTCTTCTTTTTAAAGAATCATGTGTTAGGTTTACACAATTCTGATTCTTTCGTGTCAGCCTCTGACTTACACAAGAATTTGATTGTGGAAACTTTATTCTTTTAATACTCTGAACATACCACAAAACTGCTACATTGCAAACTCCCCAGATCACTGGTTGGGGTACTGAATGTAGGGATTGGAGTCATCAAGACTCAGGCAAGTTGTGGGAACATCCGTCTGAAGATTAGAGTAAAACTAAAGTTCAAAGATAATACTGAGGTCTTAATTATGGGAAAACCTCATCTCGTCATCACAGAGTCTGAAGGAAGTGATTAGAGAAGGGGACTGAAGTTGTGGTTACAATGCCAGAAGCTCAGCAGCTTGGAAAACAGGACATTTGCTTCTAGTGCTCTATAGTAAACAAGCCTCTGTGGGTTGGAGTGGCTGATATATAAAGGAGACTTTTTTACAGTTTTAGAATTATTTATTTCTGGCCAGGCATGGTGGCTCACGCCTATAATGCCAGCACTTTGGGAGGCCAAGGTGAGCAAATCACCTGAGGTCAGGAGTTCGAGACCAGCCTTGCCAACATGACAAAACCCCATCTCTATTAAAAATACAAAAAATTATCCAGGCATGGTGGCGCGCACCTGTAGTCCCAGCTACTTGGGAGGCCGAGGCAGGAGAATCACTTGAACCAGGAGTCGGAGGTTGCAGTGAGCCGAGATCACGCCATTGCACTCCAGCCTGGCAACAGAGCAAGACTCCACTTCAGAAAAAAAAAAAACTTATTTATTTCCTATGTTTCCCTTTAATGTCTTAGTACACATATATACTTCACTTTTACCAGTATTTTAAATGTTATTTATAATTAAACATTTAAGTTCTGAATGTATTTCTGTTTTAAACACATTAACATTTCTTTACAAAGTGTTTCCTTTTTAATACGTATTTTGTATGACATGGAATTCTTCCTTGACATATTTGTTATTTGGAAATATACATTAAATTTCCAAATACCTTTGAATTAACTTTATGTGACAAATTTCTAATTGTACAGTAGATTAATTATATAGTGCAGCTAGTTTCTACTTATTAAATTTTTTTGAATTATTGTTGTCTAAGATACCTACTTTTACTACCTTTAAAATGATATAATCTGTATCTTTTTGCGATTTGTAATCTGTGTATCAGTATTACCTTATTGTATTCATCACATCCTGTATGTCATTTTGTTATTCTGAACTTCATATGCCACAGATAAATGGCAGTTATTTAGATTTTTCCTCTATATTTTTTCTCTAAATTTCTCTTTATGTTAAAAAATAAGATTTTTTTTCTAATATAATGTGCTGTTTTATTACACACATACAGATTTTTTTATTATTATCTATAACTTCAATTGTAAAGTAATAACTCTCGGTGTTGTTGAGCTTAAGTTCTAGATTTGTTCATATTTAGTCACATCAAGTTTTCTTTTTCAGAAAATAATTGTATGTATTTTATTTATAATTTTTTTCTGTATTATTTTATAATTGGTTCTTTTTGGGTAAATTTAGTCATTTATATATTATAGTTATTTGATTAGCACTATCTTTTATCATTTTTACATGTTTCAAACAATTTCCTATTGAATATTTTTGCTATAAACTTACTTTTGCCTTCTTTTATGCTTTCTTTAATGCTTTAGTGAGCTTTAACATAAGTATTCTATCTGTAACTGTTAGTATATATTAACATAAATTATTCTGCAAGCATTTAAACCTTATATTTATATATGTATGTATGTATGTATTTATAATATATAAAAATATTTTGATGGTTTTAGAGTAAAACACTTTTTTATTTTATAGCATACATACAAGAAAATGCCATCTTAAATTTATAATTTAATGCATTTTGATAAGTGCATACATAAATGTAACTACCATGCCATTCAAGCTAGAAAAAATTTCCAACACCCCTGAAAGTTTCTCGCCTACTATAGGCAACTGTTATTTTGATTTTTATCACCATAGCTTACTTTCGTCTTTTTCTTGGACCTCATAATAATGAAATTAAATATATCAATATATTTTTGAGATTCACCAATATTACTCCATGTATTTGCAGCTCATTCTTTCTCACTGGTCCACATTATATTATTGCATAACTACAGAGTATTTATTTAAATCTATTTTTCTGCTGATGGACATTTAGGTTGTTTCCAGTTTTCACTGTTATGAATAAAGCTATATAAATGGCCTGGGATAATATTTCTGTGGACCTATACTTTCATTTCTGTTTGTTAAAAGCTTAGGACTGGAGTTGCTGCATTGTAGTGTAGATATATTTAGCTTTATAAGAAAATGTCAAATAAATGATAACATATTTTTATATTTTAGAATTTTGAAACACTTCTTCAGAGATTGTAAAATAAAACATTTCCCCTCTCTCTACCTGTCCTCTTTCTAAAAACAACAGTCTCTTAATCTAGCAATTATAAATCCTACATATCTTATGTATTTATAATTATAAATCCTACATAACTTATACAGGATATATAATTGTAAGTAAATCCTACATATCAATAGTTAACATAGTTAAGATATATATATGTGTGTGTATATATATACACACACACACACACATCTCATTTTTAAAAAAAGGTGACAAAGCTTACACACAAATCTCTGCCTTGCTAATTTTCATATAGTGTATCCTGGATACATTCTATATCAACACATAATGACTTACCTATTTGTTTTTAACAGTCTCATGCTATTTTGAATACCTTCTTATGAAAGAGTCAAATCAATTGAAGAGCAGAGAGAAAATATCTGAAGATATTATACTGTGGGTTTTGATTAATATTTGTATCATAGTTGTTTTTCTTTTAAGGAGAGCACTTCCGTAACATAGTTTTTACATGGTGGTGCTTATTTTAAAATTTTCTATAATATTAACTACTCACTAAAATATGTGTTTTTTCTTTTTAAAAGACAATGCCACGTCTCAGAGTTTGGTTCTATATGGAGCCTCTAAGGAGAACAGTGAAAGTTTTCATGAAAGTAAAATGACAAATACTGAAGGTGAGGACTGAACGTAAATCATATAGTAAACTATATAAGCTATATTTATACTCCCTCATTAGTTTATGATTTCAATACTATTTCTATTTTGAACTAAATCCTGCATATCCTTAATAGTTAACATAGTAAAGATATATAATAGTAAAGATATAAGGTAGTATATTGTATCAATAGTATATTGTTAACATAAAATCTGAGTTTATGATTGTTATATAATTTCAGAAATGTATGAATTTTAAAATAAATTCTTAACCACCCAAGCTGTGACTGGCCTGTTCTAGATAGAACATTTACAGTTCATTGAGGACATGTTTCTTAGAATAAAAAGAAGACAGATGTTTTGGGGGTGTATTTTTCATTTTTTAAATAATCATTTTATTTTATTTTCTTAAGTTCCAGGGTACATGTGCAGGATGTGCAGGTTTCTTACATAGGTAAACACATGCCATGGTCAATCCATCACCTAAGTATTAAGCCCAACATGCATTAGCTCTTTTCCCTAATGCTTTCCCCCACCCCGCCCTCCCCCTGCAGGCCCCAGTAAGTGTTCTTCCCCTCCCTGTGTCCATGTGCTCTCATTGTTCAGCTCCCACTTACAAGTGAGAACATGTAGTGTTTGGTTTTCTGTTCGTGCGTTAGTTTGCTGAGGATAATAGCTTCCAGCTTCATCCATGTCCCTGCAAAGGACATGATCTCGTTCCTTTTTATGGCTGCATAATATTCCATGGTGTATATGTACCACATTTTCTTTATCTAGTCTATCATTGATGGACATTTGGGTTGATTCCATGTCTTTGCTATTATGAATAGTGCTGCAATGAACATAACTCATGCATGTATGTTTATAATAGAATGATTTATGCTCCTTAGGTTGTATACCCAGTAATGGGATTGCTGGGTCAAATGGTATCTCTAGTTCTAAATCTTTGAGGAATTGCCACTGTCTTCCACGGTGATTGAACTAATTTATGCTCCTACCAACAGTGTAAAAGAATTATTTCTCTGCAACCTCACTAGCATCTGTTGTTTCTTGACTTTTTAATAATTGCCATTCTGACTGGCATGAGATGGTATCTCATTGTAGTTTTGATTTGCATTTCTCTAATGATCAGCGATGTTGACCTTTTTAAAATATATTTGTTGGCCACATGTGTGCCTTTTTTTTTGAGAAGTGTCTGTTCATATCCTTTGCCTATTTTTTTAACGGGTTGTTGTTTTCTTGTAAATTTGCTTAAGTTCCTTGTAGATTTTGGATATTAGACCTTTGTCAGATGGATAGATTGCAAAAATTTTCTCCCATTCTGTAAGTTGTCTGTTCGCTCTAATGATACTTTCTTTTGCTGTGCGGAAGCTCTGTAGTTTAATTAGACCCCATTTGTCAATTTTGATTTTTGTTTCAATTGCTTTTGGCGATTTCATCATAAGGTCTTTCCCCATGCCTATGTCCTGAATGGTATTGGCTAGATTTTCTTCTAGGGTTTTTATAGTTTTGGGTTTTACATTTAAGTCTTTAATCTTGAGTTGATTTTTGTATAAGGTATAAAGAGGGAATCCAGTTTCAGTTTAATGCATATGGCTAACCAGTTCTCCCAGCACCATTTATTAAATAGGTAATCATTTACCCATTGCTTGTTTTGTCAAGCTTGTCAAAGATCAAATGGTTGTAGATGTGTGTTTTTATTTCTGAGTTCTCTATTCTGTTCTGCTGGTCTATGTGCCTATTTTTGTACCAGTTCCATGCTGTTTTGATTACTGTAGCCTTATAGTATAGTTTGAAGTCAGGCAGCATGATACTTCCAGGTTTGTTTTATTTTTTGCTTAGGATTGTCTTGGCTATGTGAGGTCTTTTTTGGTTCCGTGTGAATTTTAAAATAGTTTTTTCTAATTCTTTGAAGAATGTCAGTGGTAGTTTAATGGAAATAGTGTTGAATCTATAAATTGCTTTGGGCAGTATGGTCATTTTCATGATATTGATTCTTCCTATCCATAAGCATGATACACTTTTCCATCTGCTTGTATCCTCTCTGATGTCCTTGAGCAGTGGTTTGTATTACTCATTGAAGAGGTCCTTCATTTCCCTTGTTTTCCTGGGTATTTTATTCTCTTTGTGGCAATTGTGAATGGGAGTTCATTCATGATTTGGCTCTCTGCCTGTCTGTTGTTGGTGTACCGGAATGCTTGTGATTTCTGCACATTGATTTTATATCCTGAGACTTTGCTAAAGTTGCTTATCAGCTTAGGAAGCTTTTGGGCTGAGTTGATGGGGTTTTCTAGATATAGATCATGTCATCCTCAAACAAAGACAATTTGAATTCCTCTCTTCTTATTTGCAAACCCTTTATTTTTTACCTTGCCTGATTGCCCTGGCCAGAACTTCCAACACTATGTTGAATAACAGTGGTGAGTGAGGGCATCCTTGTCTTGTACCCATTTTCAAGGGGAATGCTTCCCATTTTTGCCTGTTTAGTATGATACTGACTGTGAGTTTGTGATAAATAGCACATATTATTTTGAGGGATATTCCTTCAATATCTCACTTATTGAGTTATTTACATGAAGGGGTGTTGAATTTTATCAAAGGCCTTTTCTGCATCTATCGAGATAATCATGTGGTTTTTGTCTTTAGTTCTGTTTACATGATTAATTACATTTATTGATTTGCGTATGTTGAACCAGCCTTGCATCCCGGGGATGAAGCAGACTTGATCATGGTGGATAAGCTTTTTGATGTGCTGCTGAATTTGGTTTGCCAGTACTTTACTGAGATTTCTGCATAGATGTTCATCAGGGTTATTGGCCTGAAGTTTATGTTGTTGTTGTTGTTGTTGTAGTTGTATCTCTGGTGTCAGGATGATACTGGCCTCATAAAATGAGTTAGGGAGGAATCCCTCCTTTTCAATTGTTTGAATAGTTTCAGAAGGTATGGTACCAGCTCCTCTTTGTACTTCTGATAGAATTCAGCTATAAATCCATCTGAATGTAGGCCTTTTTTTTAGTTGGTAGGCTATTTATTACTGCCTCAATTTCAGAACTTGTTATTGGTCTATTTAGGGATTCAAATTCTTCCTGGTTCAGTCTTGGGATGGTGTATGTGTCCAGGAATTTATCCATTTCTTGTAGATTTTCCAGTGTATTTGCATAGAGGTGTTTATAGTATTCTCTGATGGTTGTATTTCTGTGGGGTCAGTGGTGGTATCCCCCTTATCATTTCTGATTGTGTTTATTTGGATCTTCTCTCTCTTTTTTTAAAATCAGACTCACTAGCAGTCTATTCTATTGATTCTTTTTTTTAAAAAAAAAGACAGCTCCTGGATTCATTGATTTTTTTTGGAAGTGATTTTTTTGTGTTTATCTCTTTCAGTTCTGCTCTGAGATTGGTGATTTCTAGTCTTCTGCTAGCTCTGGAGTTTGTTTGCTCTTTGTTCTCTAGTTCGTTTAGTTGTGATGTTAGGGGGTTGATTTGAGATCTTTCTGGCTTTTTGATGTGGGCATTTAGTGCTATAAATTTCCTACTTAGCACTGCTTTAGCTGTATCACAGAGATTCTGATACATTGTTGCTTTGTTCTCATTTGTTTCATAGAACTTCTTGATATCTGTCTTAATTTCATTATTTACCAGGAGTCATTCAAGAGCAGGTTGTTCAATTTCCACGTAGTTATGTGGTTTTGAGTGGGCTTTTTAATCTTCAGTTCTCATTTGATTGCACTGCGGTCTGAGAGAGTGTTTGTTATGATTTCAGTTATTTTGCATTTGCTGAGGAGTGTTTTACTTCCAATTATGTGATCAATTTTAGAGTAAGTGCACTGAGAAAAATTTATATTCTCCTGTTTTTTTGGGTGGCAAGTTCTGTAGATATCAATCAGGTCCACTTGGTCAAGAGCTGAGTTCAAGTCCTGGATCTTTGTTAATTTTCTCTCTCAATGATCTGTCTAATACTGACAGTGGGTTATTAAAGTCTCCCTCTATTATTGTGTGGGGGTCTAAGTCTCTTTGTAGGTCTCTAAGAACTTGTTTTATGGATCTCAGGGCTCCTGTATTGGGTACATATATATTTAGGATAGTTAGCTCTTCTTGTTGAATTGAACCCTTTAACATTATGTAATGCCCTTCTTTATCTGTTTTGACCTTTGTTGGTTTAAAGTCTAGTTTTTCAGAAACTGTGATTGCAACCTCTGCATTTTTCTGCTTTCAATTTGCTTGGTAAATTTTCCTCTGTCCCTTTATTTTGAGTCTATGTGCATCTTTGCATGTGAGATGTGTTCTTTGAATACAGCACACTGATGGGTCCTGTCTTTGTATCCAGTTTGCCATTCTGTGTTTCTTAATTGGGACATTTAGCCCATTTACATTTAAGGTTAATATTGTTATGTGTGAATTTAATCCGTCATCATGATGCTGGCTGGTTAATTTTGCAAACTTGTTAATATAGTTGCTTCATAGAGTTGTTGTTCTGTGTACTTCAGTGTGTTTTTGTAGTGGATAGTAATAGTGCTTCCTTCAGGAGCTCTTGCAAGGCAGACCTGGTGTTCACAAAATTCCTCAGCAGTTGCTTGTCTAAAAAAAGATTTTATTTCTCCTTCACTTATGAAGCTTAGTTTGGCCTAATATGAAATTCTGAGTTGAAGTTTCTTTTTTTAAGAATGTTGAATGTTGGCCCCCAATCTCTTCTGGCTTTTAGGGTTTCCACTGAGAGGTACACGGTTAGTCTGATGGGCTGCCCTTTGTGGATGACCTTGGCTTTCTCTCTGGCTGCCCTTAACAATTTTTCCTTCATTTTTACCTTGGAGAATCTGATGATTATGTGTCTTGGGGGTAAATCTTTTCATGAAATATCTTACTGGGGTTCTCTGGATTTCCTGGATTTGAAAATTGGCCTGTCTTGCTAGATTGGGGAAGTTCTCCTGGATGGTGTCCTGAAGTGTGTTTTCCAACTTGGTTCCATCCTCCCCATCTCTTTCAGTTTCTCTAATCAGTCATAGGTTCAGTCTCTTTACATAGT